CTCAATCTCTGGACCTTGTGATCCACCCGCCTTGGTCTCCCAAAGTGATGGGATTATAGGCATGAGCCACTGGGCCTGGCCTGTATTCATGTTTATATGTGATATGGTTTGCACCCAAATGTCATCTTGAATTGGAACTCCCACAATTCCCACATGTTGTGGGAGGAATCTACTGGAAGGTGACTGAATTATAGGGGCACGACTTTCCTGTGCTGTTCTTATGATAGTGAATGAGTTTCACGAGATCTGATGGTTTTCAAAAATGGGAGTTTCCCTACACAAGCTCTCTCTCTTTGCCTGCCGCCATTAATGTAAGAGATGAGTTGCTCCTCCTTACTTTCCATCATGACTGTTAGGCTTCCCCAGCCTCATGGAACTGTTAAGTCCAATTAAACCTCTTTCTTTTGTAAATTGCCCAGTCTTGGGTATGTCTTTATCAGTAGTGTCAAAATGGACTAATACAATGTGCATATATATAGAATAATCTTTATATATACTGTATGCACATACCATAGGTGTATGTACATCCATGTGATACACATACACATATGCACATACATACACATAGAAATATATAAATACATACATATACACACATAATACACATATAAATATATTCATACACATACATATATACATAATACATACACACATATATACTTAAAAATTTAGACAGGACCTAGCTGTTGCCTAGGCAGGAGGGCAGTGGTTCTTTTTTTTTTTTTTTTTTTTTTTTTGGAGACGGAGTCTCGCTCTGTTGCCCAGGCTGGAGTGCAGTGGCCGGATCTCAGCTCACTGCAAGCTCCGCCTCCCGGGTCTACGCCATTCTCCTGCCTCAGCCTCCCGCGTAGCTGGGACTACAGGCGCCCGCCACCTTGCCCGGCTAGTTTTTTGTATTTTTTAGTAGACACGGGGTTTCACTGTGTTAGCCAGGATGGTCTCAATCTCCTGACCTCGTGATCCGCCCGTCTCGGCCTCCCAAAGTGCTGGGATTACAGGCTTGAGCCACCGTGCCCGGCCAGGGCAGTGGTTCTTATCACAGCTCTCTGCAGCCTCAAACTCCTGGGCCCAAGCAGTCCTACCTAAACAGCTTCCCAAAGCACTGGGATTATCGTGTGAGACACCATGCTGGCCTACACATTTTAAGTAAAAGCCTTCATCTGATATGGATTTCACAAATATTTGCTTCCACTATGTGATGTGTTCTTTCACTGTATTAAATGTCTTTTGTATACTTCTAAAGTTTTAGTGATGTGTAACATCATTTCTTTTTTTTCTGTCCCAGATAGAGTCTTGTTCTGTCGCCCAGGCTAGAGTGTAGTGGTGCTGTATGGACTCACTGCAATCTCTACCTCTGGGGTTCAAGCAATTCTCCTCCCTCAGCTTCCCCAGTAGCTGGGATTACAGGCATGCACCATCACGCCTGCTAAATTCATTTTTGTATTTTTAGTAGACATAGGGTTTCACCATGTTGCCTCATCTTGAACTCCTGACCTCATGATCCGCCTGCTTCAAGCTCTCAAAGTGGTGGGAGGCTGAACCTGGCCAACATCGTTTATTTTTTCTTTCATGCATCATGTTTCTGCTATTCTATCTAATAAGTCATCGCAGGCTGCATGTGGTGGCTCACGTCTATAACTCTACCAGTTTGGGAGGCTGAGGTGGGCCGATCAGTTAGGGTCAGGAGTTCAAAACCAGCGTGACCAACATGTTGAAACCCCATCTCTACTAAAAAAAGAAAACAAAACAAACAAAAACAATTAGCTGGCTGTGGTGGCAGGTGCCTGTAATCCCAGCTACCTGGGAGGCTAAGGCAGAATTGCTTGAATCGGCAGAGGTTGCAGTTAGCCGAGATGGCACCGCTGCACTCCAGCCTGGGCAACAAAGTGAGAGACTCGGTCTCAAGAAAAAAAAAAAAAAAGAAAGAAAAGAAAAAAAAAAGTAATTGCCAAACCCAAGGTTGTCTAGGTTTTCTCCTATGTTATCTTCTGGGAGTTTTCATAGTTTTGCCTTTTACATTTAGGGCTATTGTCTATTTTATTTTTTTGTGAAAGGTATAAAGTCTATGTCTAGAGTTTTTTGTTTTTGTTTTTTTTTTTTTTGCATATGATGTCCAGTTGTTCCAGCACTGTGAGTTAAAAAGAATGAATTGCCTTTGCTCCTTGCTCAAAGATTAGTTGAGGTGGAATGCTACGGCTCACGCTCTAATTGCAGCAATTTGGGAATGTGAGGCAGACAGTTTGACACCAGTCTGGGGTAACATGGTGAGATCTCGACTCTACAAAAAATGCAAAACAATTAGGCATGGTGGTGCTCGCCTGTAGACCCAGCTACCTGGGAGACTGAGGTCGGAGGCTCTAGTGAGCCAAGACCACACCACTGCATTCCAGCCTTTGCGTGGGTTCCTACTGCCTTTTTTTTTTTTTAAGATGTTGTCTTGCTCTGTAGCCCAGGCTGGTGACCGGATCTCTGCTCACTGCAATCTCCGCCTCCTGGGTTCAAGCTATTCTTCTGTCTCAGCCCCCTGAGTAGCTAGCTGGGATTACAGGTGCAAGCCACCACACCCGACTAATTTTTGTATTTTAAGTAGGGACAGGGTTTCACCATATTGATTAGGCTGGTTTCCAACTCCTGACCTCAGGTGATCCACCCACGTTGGCCTCCCAAAATGCTGGGATTACAAGCATGAGCCACTGCACCCAGCCCCTACTGGCTTTTAATTTTAATTTTGGATATTTGGCCTGCATGGTTGTTCATGCCTGTAATCCCAGCACTTTAGAAGGCCAAGGAGGGCGGGTCACTTGAGGTCCGTAGTTGGAGACTAGCCTGGCCAACATGGTGAAACCCCATCTCTACTAAAAATACAAAAATTAGCCAGGTGTGGTGCTGCATGCCTGTAACCTCAGCTACCCGGGAGGCTGAGGCAGGAGAATCACTTGAACCAGGGAGATGGAGGTTGTAGTGAGCTGAGATAGTGCCACTGCACTGCTGCCTGGGAGACAAAAGAAGAGTTGGTTTCCAAAAAAAAGAGAAAATTCCAGCTACCGTTGGTGACATTTCTTGCAAACAGATTAGTTTTTCCCCTGCCTCCAATTAGTAACTGAAAATAACTGGAACACACACACACACATCTCTAGTGCAGTAGTTATCTGTGGAAATTATTGTGGCTAGCTTTGTCAGAATGCACTAGCTCCTTCCAACCTTGTTTTCTTGTTTTTTCCCACCTGATAGGACTGCACATTTGAAAAATTCGAAACAAAATAACACAGTCTATCACCTATCTACCGCCCATCTAGCACTTCAGAAAGAGGAATTTTGGTGATTGCATGACAAAAAGAGGAGGTCTCTCTCCTAACTTAGTTGTTACAGTGTCCTTTGGTGTTCTATAAGCCTATGATAAAAGCTATTGACTATTCACGGGCAATAAACCCGGTTGGATGATTGGGATATTACAATACAGGCAGGATGGATTCTGAGCTGTCTTGAAGCTAGCTACAGAAGATCAGCTGTAAAACTTGGCTACCCTGTGCTCCCGTCTGAGCGTGAGGATTTCCATCACTTTCTCCTACTTTAAAAGATTGACATCTGCCAACTAATTAGAACACATAAAGAGGCCTTTTAATCAAGTTCAGTGTGGAATTTCCAAGTGCTAAGCCGGGGTGGCAAGCTAGGAGGACGGTTTGGCTGCGCAGCTACTTGAGGGCCTGCGGTAGCCGAGGGCTGAGTCTCTGTCAGTCCAGAGCATTAAAGATGAATACTCCTCCTTTACTTTCTGAAACTGAATGAGCAAGGCGAAAGAAGATTCAATTAAACGCAAAGTGACCCTACAGGCGGAAAAAACACAGTGCTTCCACCAGAAGGCGGTGGGGGAAGGGAAACACGTGTACCCAGGGTAGGGTTGCATCATGAGCTCCGTTGGGTTTTCTATTGCACCCTTAGTTTTTCCATTGCATGCAATACCTCAGCATCAGTCTACACAAGCCCAGGTAGCCTGGGAGCAACGAAGGGCAGGCTCAATGGAAGGCCCCAAGTCTTTCTGGAGACCTCTGAATGGCAGCTGATAAGAAGACATAATAAGGCACTATTCTGCTGATTCACAATTACGGAGACTGTGTATGTATTTTCTTACCGATGTGCTCTAACGATGGTGTAGCAACCGTGGTTTTATATCATTGAGGTTTTACAGCACTATTTCGCAGGGTAGTTTTTAGGTCTGCTTTTTTGGTTGGAGGATCGAACCTTAAAAAGTCATCTCGGGTTCCCGTTCCCCCACAGCTTGAGCAACAGATAGTCTAGTGCGCGAGAAGAAAGTGAGGTTATAAATTGCTGAGTGTACTGGGATCTCAGCACGAAGCTCATTATATATTAAAGGGAGGGGAAAACTTGTTTAAAAATATTCAACACAGCAGGCCCCAGAGGTGGTGGGGAGGAGGAGTGGAAATCTGTGTAACTGAATTAAGGCCGCGAGGGGAAGGAGCGCTGGAGACTTGAGTACACGAAGGCCAGGCCATGTAAACATTGGCAACATAACGCACTTTGCAAATGCTCGAGGGCTGAAGCCTGAGGGTGACGGTGGAGGTGAGCCTCTTAGCCTCCTCTCTAATTCCCATACCCGAGCTCCTGGCATTTACGCCAGTTTGTCCCTAAGCATTTCTGGTTCTTTGTGGGAGGTGTTTTGCAAAGAGGGGACTGTCCCTTTTTTCGAGGTGGGGAAATGACAACTGGGGCTGTCTTCTAAGACAACGATTTTGAGGGAGGTACACCCTCGGTCAGGTGCCAGGGGGCGGCCGGGCGGCTTCCTTTTTCAGCTGGGGGAGGGCAACAGTTTAGCAGGGGTCCAGGTTCCCCTCACCCACCCTCGGCATAGGGGAGGGGCAGGTTCGCAGTTCCCGATCCTCCTTGGAGGAGGGGCTGTTTCCTGATCTAAACCACTAGGGCGCCGGAGCTGGGGCGGGGGCTGGTGGGACGCGGGTATCCCACGGCCGGCCGTTGAGGAGTGGCCGGCCGTGGCTAGCGGGGGCCGTCCCGCTCACAGTCCTCCCCGCCAGCATTTGCGTGCTAGCCGCCCCTCCCAGCGGTGGTCACTGCCAGTGTCAGTCCCTCCCGCCGCCGTGCAGTGCCGCCCTATTTCGCTGCAGCCACCGCGCCGGCTCCAGCGCCCGCAGCTTGCGCTCTAGAGCGAGGAGCGGCCAACGCCCCCGCCCCGCTGCCGCCATCGTCACCGCAGTGCTCTCCGGTCGCCATTTGCTACCGAAACTTTCCAGCAACCGCGAAGTTTCCCGGACTCCGCGGCGGGGGGGCGGAGGCGGCCCAGGGGCGGCGCGCCGCTGCTCCGGGGCGCCGGGCTCTTCCCGGCCGGTGCGACGGGCTCTTTTCGGCAGCCGCACTGCTGGGCCTCGAAAGCTGACCGCCTGAGGGAGATATATAGTGCGACCAGGTACCCGCCGCCGCCGCCGCCACAAGCTGCCGTGCTAGCGACGAGGTGAGTGCTCTGCGTTCCGTGGACCGGGCGCAGGTCGCAAACTTCTGCGTACTGCCCTGACTCCTTGGGGTCCAGCAGGCGGCTTGGGCCGTCCAGAGGGTCCGCTTGCCCGAATTCCTGGAGACGCAGGTCCCCAACTGTTCCGGCGGCGCTCGGACTGGGGTGCGGAGCGCTGCCTGGACTCAACAATACTCGGAGGTGGTCGCTCCCCCAAAGTGCTTGCGCGCCGTGTGGGGAGGGGACGGAGGTTGGCGGGAGAGACTCCTTTGTCTGGGGAAGGGGAGGGGGCTGGTAAGTTTAGGAAAATGGAAGTACTCGGTTTCTTTCCCGGTGCCCCTTCGTCTGCCGCTCTTGGGGTTTGCTGGGCCCAGCGCTACCGCTGGTGGGCGGAAGGGGCAGGTTGTGGGATTTTTCTCGCCGTGGTGAAGGGGACTCCCTTTCATCCACCGGACTCGGGCCGGCCTGCCCCGACCTGGGAGGAAGGCGCAGTTGCGCAGAGCGGGGCGACCTGCGGGCTGGGCGGCTAGGGCCCCGCGGCGCCTGCTCGGTTTCTGAGCAGATTCTCCACCTCCAAAAAGGGGATAGGCAGACGGAGCCCTTTGCAAAACACCTCCCACAAAGAGCCAGAAATGCTTAGGAACAGACTGGTGTAAAAGCCAGGAGCTCGGGTGTGGGAACTGGAGAGGAGGCTGGGAGGCTCACCGCCACCCCCAGACAAAAACTGTCAAAGAGGTCGGGAGTTCCCCTCCTAGTCCGGCCCCACCGCTCTGTCGGGCCTGGGGGCACCCCCCGCCCCAGCCCGCTCTGTCTGGGTCTGCAAAGCGCCCCCACGGGAGAGCGCAGACTTGTTAAACCTCGGCTCTGGCGAGTCGCCGTCTAGCAGATCCTGGGCCCGGTCTTGCTTCCCAGGGGGACCTTTCCTCACGGAGTGGGCGAGGCGTGTGCCTTCAGGAGTCAGTGATGTCCGGATATGTGACAACTCTGGGTCGTTGGAGTCCCGCCGGCGCTGGACTAGGGCTGGACTTCACGTGCGTCGTCTATGCGCGGTCATGCCAGAGGCTAGGGCTCACTCACTGCACGGCCTCATGTTCCTGCAGCCAGCTACGTGAGTCTAAAATTCCACACAGGTAGGGACCGATGTGATTATTTTCGAGTCGGTGGTGATCTGGAGTAAAACTTAGTGAGAAACAAAATCCCAGCCTGTTTTATTTGCAACTGTTTTGCATGGTCAAGAGTGGCTTGACCTGCTTTCTGGGTGTTTTCCTCTGCTGACAGGCAAGAATCCCCGGTTCAGCCTGTAAGGCGAGGGGCAGGACTCCACACTAGGAGGTGGAGAGGAGGCCAGCCACCTCACTGCTAATGTCCCAGACGGTGGCCTCAGTATAGGAAGTGGTTTTTATGGAAAGTTTAGAAGTCCTTCCTAGAAAAGGGGCAGTTAGGAAAAATAAAATATAGAAAAATGTTGAGTATGACTCATTTATTTTAAAGAGTAGTCATGTCTCACATATGCCACAGATTTTTGTGGAACGCCGCCGAGCTGGGTAACTGACACAACAAAAGTTGTTCATCACTGGATCCGTTTATTAAAAGGGGCCCTTAAGGCGATTGCAGGCCGTAGTAGAACACACACCTGTAGGTCAAAAATGGAAATTTGTGGTGTAGTTCTGCCACCCTTGCTGCCTCACCACCCGCCCCAAGGCATTTGGCCCCTTTACTGGGCTCAGAGGAGTCCTGTCCTCTGCTGGCAGTTTTAAAGAGGAAACTGGACTAGGCGCGGTGGCTAAGGCCTGTAATCCCAGCACTTTGGCAGTGCTAGTGAGTGATCACTTGAGATCAGGTGTCCAAGACCAGAATGGCCAACATGCTGAAACTCCATCTCTACTGAAAATACAAGAATTAGCCGGGGTGATGGCAGATGCCTGTAATCCCAGCTACTCGGGAGGCCCAGAGGGGAGAATCTCTTGAACCCAAGAGGCGGAGGTTGCAGTGAGCTGAGATCATGCCATTGCACTGTAGCCTGGGCGACAAAGTGAGACTCCACCTCCAAAAAAAAAAAAAAAAAAAAAAAGAGGAACCTGTGTGCAACAATAACTTTACTGTACACATAGTTAGAAGTGAATGATGGCCGGGCGCGGTGGCTCAAGCCTGTAATCCCAGCACTTTGGGAGGCCGAGATGGGCGGATCATGAGGTCAGGAGATCGAGACCACCCTGGCTAACACAGTGAAACCCCGTTTCTACTAAAAATACAAAAACTTAGCCGGGCGAGGTGGCAGGCGCCTGTAGTCCCAGCTACTCGGGAGGCTGAGGCAGGAGAATGGCGTAAACCCGGGAGGCGGAGCTTGCAGTGAGCTGAGATCAGGCCACTGCACTCCAGCCTGGGTGACAGAGCCAGACTCCGTCTCAAAAAAAAAAAAAAAAAAAAAAAAAAAAAAGAAGTGAATGATTACAATTTGCAGTACCATTGGTTCTGTACAACATAATCTTGAATTTTAGTTAGAAGATATTTTTTTGCCTTTTAAGGTAACAGTTCATTAAAAAATACATCAGCCTACTGCTAGGTGCTAGGTACTGTGCTGGGCCCAGGGCACACCATGAACAAAGCAAAGCCCTGTTTGGGGACTTTGGATTGGGGGTAGGCTAGGGTATGCCCTGGTCCCCAACTACAGAGTGTGTGCTACTAGGATCCTTCGTGGGGAGAGTTTTTAGCTGTTCTTAGTCTTCTTTCACCCAAGGCTGATCAGTCCAGTAATTATAACTGTCTCCCTTTACATTTCACATGTAGATACACAAATCTTCTAACTGCTCTGGAAAGTTTGGGCGTTTTAATGGACTGCATAGAGATATATTATGGTGTGGGACTTTGGAATGTATTTGGTTTCGAATCTGTTTTGTCTAGTGGAGGCTTGGTTTTCTCATCTGTGAGATGGCACCATGAGTCTCTCTCACAGAGCTTTTTAAGAGGCTGTATACCACTCTCAGGAGCTGACAAAGTGGTGATTAGAGCCCCTGAGTTAATCTCCACAATGGCAGGTTCCATTGACCTAGGTATGTTTGGCTAGAAAAGCTACCTTTGTCTCCATTTGTCCTTAAGTTGTGAAAGTGCCCACCATATTTGCTTTACCCTTGAGCAGTTTTGTAACTTTGAACTCCCACAACTTTTCTAAGCATATTTGTCATGTGTAAATTTAAAAAACAGAACTAGAATTCCTCAAAGTCCAGCTCTTAAGCTTGGTGTTTATTATGCCTTTCTGTCTAGTGTGGATCTTCCCACTGGGAAACAAAAATCTATAAATTATACACACACTCACAGGAGACTCTACATTATGATTATGGAAATACGTGTGTGTGTGTGTGTGTGTGTGTGTATATGTAGATGTATCAACAGACTCCCAGAAAGTCAGTGAATCAGGTGGTTTCTTCTGTAGCTTTGTCATTGCATATAGTAGCCAGTTGCCACATGTGACTATTCAGACTTAATTGAAAGCAACAATTCTGTTTTATCAGTAGCACTAGCCGTACGTACTTCATGTACTCTGAGGCTGCATAAGGTTAGGTGGCCACCATACTGGACAGTCATGCGCAGTCATATTGGATAGCAGGAAATTGCAGAAAGTTCTGTTGGAGTATGTTATTCTGTAGTTACTGCAGTGAAACCTTAATAAAGAAAACTGTTGGCCAGGTATGGTGGTTCATGCCCGTAATATTAGCACTTTGGGACGCCAAGCAGGGAAGAAGCCTTGAGGCCAGGAGTTTGAGACCTCATCTCTACTAAGAATATTTTAAAAATTAACTGGGCATTGTAGTGTGAGTCTATAATCCCAGCTGCTCAAGAGGCTGAAGTTGAAAGATTTCTTGATCCCAGGAGTTCTGGGCTGTGGTGAGCACACATCTGCACTCCATCCTGAATAACAGAGGAAGAATCTGTTTCAAAAACAAAATAAAACAAAACCCAAAACAGTAGTCATACCTAGGTGAGGTGGTTCATGCCTGTAATCCAGCATTTTGGGAGGCTGAGGTGGAAAGTTCAAGACCAGCCTGGCCAACATGGTGAAAACACGTTCTCTATTAAAAAAATACAAACATTAGCTGGGTGTGGTGGCGCATTCCAGCTACTTGGAAGGCTGAGGTGTGAGAACTGCTTGAACCCAGGAGGTGGAGAGGTTGCATTGAGCCGAGATGGTGCCAGTGTACTCCAGCTTGGGGCACAAGGTGAGACTCTGTCTCAAAAAACAAAACAAAAACCCCAAAACAACAACAACCAAAAAACAGCAGTTAAGAGAGTTGTGCTTTTTGTGGAGGAAGGTGTGAAGTCAATAAAATGTAACTCACAGGTGGGCTTGTCTTTTTAAAAAAAATGATTCATTTCAGCCAGTGATTTGGCCAGGAAAACAATTTCAGCAAATGGGTTCTTAACGTGAAGCTGACGACCTCTAGTTTTAAACTGAGGCGGTTTGGTCCAGTTTTGATTTAAAAAACAGAACTCCAAGCCTGAGTCCCTCACTGAGTGTAGAATTTTGGGCAATACATTTAGCTGCTCTGTGTCTCACTTTCCCCATCTTAAAAAATGACACTGCCAATCGCCATGTTGCCAACCTAAGCAGATTGTGGTAAATATTCCTCAGGATGGTGTAGGTGGAAGGCATAAGTAAAATCAAAGGTGCTTCTGTCAGTAACAGTCCTATGCCAGGGTACTGTAGTGCCATATCTGTTATTTTGAGATCCTCACATACTCTGGATACCTTGGGCTTTCCCTTCCCCTTCGTTAAGTTTAAGGCCTAAGTATCGAGGTTAAGTCTTTTGAGATGAAAGTCTTTTGTATTAAAAAGCTAATAAATGCTTCCAACAAGATGAGACTTTCCAGTAGTCCAGTATTTTAAAAACGTCGAATCACGACTGTTAGCTGTTTTCTGCACAGCAGTCTTGAGTCAGGATGTTATTTTTCTTACTTGGTAGATATGTCATTTGTCTGGTTCTTTGTATTTTTTATGGCAATGAATG